CAGAGGCACGGACAAGGCCCACACCGGGGTGGCTGAGCCCCACAGACGCCTCCCCCACACCCTGGAGGGTCACTTTTCCTCTTCTAAATTAATCCTTAGCATCAGCTTCTTGGGTGGTCACTCTGGATAGGTTAAAAGGGTTTTCTTTAAGGTGTCAGTTTCTTGGATTCTAATGTACAGGTCTGGTCTAGTATTTAAAAAGATATATTGCCAACACGATATAGTAGTTATGCTATTAAATTCCAAAACATGCATTAAGCCTCACGTTTGGAAATGATACCAACAAAAAGAAAGAAGAGAATTTTTATCTTTTTTTATCTAACCTCCTAATTAAAACTATTAATTTTCTTTGACCTGGCTGATGAACTTATGGAACACTTACTATTAGAAATCAGTATCAGATTTTTCATTAGTTGTCACCTCCATAAATCTTTAAGTAATAAGTTCCAATAAAATCATGATCACTAAAGGAAACTTCATTCTAAAAAAACTCCGAAATATTAAAGTATTTATTACTGATATAAAGACTATAGTGAATGAAATAAGATAAAAGAAAAAGGAGAAAGACATCTAGTCTGTAATTCATGGCAACTTTCACATACTCTTGAAATGTTATTGTTAAATCTATAACTAGGCCAGGCATGCTGGCTCACACCTATAATCCCAGCACTGTGGGAGGCCAAGGCAAGAAGATTGCTTACGCTCAAGAGTTTGATGGAGGCCAGTCCGAGCAACATAATGAGACCCTCATCTCTACAGAAAATAAACAAAATTAGCCGGATGTGGTGGCACGTGCCTGTAATTCCAGCTATTCCAAAGGCTGAGGTCGGAGGATGGCCTGAGGCCAGGAGGCTAAGGCTGCAGTGAGCCAAGGTCACACCACTACGCTTCAGCCTGGGTGACAGAGTGAGACCCTGTCTCAAAAGCTAAGTAACTAAATAAAATAAAATAAATCTACAATTTATTGATTAGAGAGCTCATAAAAATTTAGCATCTTTAAAACTTACAGGAAAATGCCAAATGATCAGATTTTTGGTAAGAAAGAAATTACGTAAGAAATTAAGTAAGAAATTATGTAAAATCAAATAAAGAGAGAAACTTCAATTAAAACTTTCATTACCAAACTTAAGCCGACAAATTGGTAAGCAGCAATGAGACGGTGAAATTTGACTCCAATATACTTAAGAGAGATTTGACTCCAATATACTTAAGAGCTCTGAATTCATCTATCTCTCTACGTAGTCACATAGGAAAGTCAATTCGGGGACTAGAATATATTTTCCTAATTAGAGGAAGGGGGCTGGACTTGTGTAAAAGCACTTTGCCAATGCAAGAGACAATGACCGATATTAGTAACTGCAATAGCATGAGGTTCAGACTAAGGATAATAGTGATAAAGGAAAACAGCAGCGATAATGCAATGGTCATGGTTTAGAAAGACACAGGAGAGCCTTCTCGACACCACCTGTAACCTGAGCTGTGTTAGAGGAAAGACTGGAAATGCTAATAAGGAATATGATTAAAGGTGGGCCTGTGGTTATAAATTGCTTTTTTAATGGTGATGACAGTAGCTAACACAGAGTATAATAAGAAGATGGGAATGTCAGTATCAATTCTATTAGTGCCAAGAACAATATACAGTATATTTAAATTAGCTTCATTTGTATTAGTATTTTTGTAAGTAATCGCCCTAGAAGCAATAACATATCCAATGCATTCTAAAAAGAAGACCAAAATAAAGTTGCCAGTGTTCTCTACAAAATAGCCACAACTTTTACACTGGGGAAAACATGCCGCATTTCCTAAGATATTCAGAATTCAGGTACACAGTTCTGCTGGATCACAACAAACCAGTGGAAAAAATTGGAAGAGCCATTGTAGGAAATGGACAAAAGTTTAAAAGATGCTAAAAATACAAGCTTCCATATGAATCAGTACTTTTCTCTCAAGAGTCATATAGAGTGATAATTAAAGCCTGTGTCTAGGTCAATTTAAACTACTTAAGAAACAACTTGGGGCTGGGCGCTGTGACTCATGCCTGTAATCCCAGTACTTTGGGAGGCCTAGGTGGGCAGATCACAAGGTCAGGAGATCGAGACCATCCTGGCTAACATGCTGAAACCCTATCTCTACAAAAAATACAAAAAATTAGCCTAGTGTGGTGGCATGTGCCTATAGTCCCAGCTATTTGGGAGGCTGAGGCAGGAGAATCACTTGAACCCAGAAGGTGGAGGTTGCAGTGAGTGGAGACTGTGCCACTGCACTCCAACCTGGGCCACAGAGCGAAATTCTTCCAAAAAAAAAAAAAAAAAGAAAGAAAGAACTTGGGACCTTGCCTGTCTAAGCATGGTCATTCCGTTGAACAGAAATGATTATAAAATTTCAAATGATCTCTTTTTAATTTGTATAAGCTGGGTCTCATTCAAGAGAAATAGGTGAATTAATGACGTTTCTATATTTTCCCAGCAATTACCATCAGCTTTCTGGGTTACTCTAATAACAAATTAGGTAAAATGAAATATCTGAGAAAAAATAATCTTCGGAAAATTGGGAAAATAGAAAACATTATCTTAAATTAAAATAAATTATTTGTCCAAATTTAAGAAAACTAGGTTGTTTGAAAGATAAACCGTATGGGTTAAAAATATAGACTGAAAAATCTGGTTGCTTAAATCACTTTTTGATTTACACTCTAAAGGGTATGAATTGTGTGAGGGAAAGATGAGTCTGGTGGGTGAGAAGCTGGCCTTTGAGTCAGAAGCCTGCATTGCCTAACCGTCATGTAGCCTTGGGCTGTTTTCACTAATTATTTTCACTTTCTTCATCTGAAAACTGAAATATCATCGTTTCTGCCTTATAAGGCCTTAGGAAGGATTAAGTGAGATAACAGAGAGGTAAGGAAAGCTCAACAGTGTCTGGCACATAGGACCCCAATAAATATTAGCTTATTATAATTATCAATGCTAATGACATGCTCAGACAGTAATTTCTATTTCTCCACATAGGCTACAGCAAGCATTTTTTCCCACAATTTGCTTCTCTCTGCTAATATCTTCCTTTTTCTCTATGAATTGTATTTTTCTTCTTAGGCCAATGCACGCACATTAGTTCCTTAGCAGTTCTCTTGTGTAAAAGTTGTTTTCAAGAAACATCACTAAAATTAAGGCCTTTTTTTCTCTCCGAATGGCTTGATTCCTTTAAAAGACTCTGTGGTCCCTCACTAAGTAAGTGGCCTCGTGTCCACAGGTACACTGATTCTAGAGCAAGAACCAAGAAACCACTCCAGGGACTGCTGACATGACCCCTACTTGGAGCACTGGGTCATTTTAAGCTTCTCTTGACCATTCTGCAAGGGACATAAATAAAGACTCCAGAACGATAAGAATTTTAAATAAGAGCAAATTTTAAAGGTAATAATTTAAATAAGCCAGGCTATCCAATAGTTAAACCCTGTCCAAACGTAGGAGTTTTTTTTTTTTTTTTTTGAAACAGTCTTGCTCTGTTGCCAGGTGCCAGGCTGGAGTGCAGTGGCGCAATCTCAGCTCACTGCAACCTCCACCTCCTGGGTTCAAGCAATTCTCCTGCCTCAGCCTCCTGATCAAAATTAAAATTCTTAAGCCAAGTGTGGTGGCTCACTCCTGTTCATTCCAGAGCTTTAGGAGGTCAGGGTGGAAGGAACCCTTGAGCCCAGGAGTTTGAGACCAGCCTAGGCAACATACCAAGACCCTGTCTCTACTAAAAATACAAAAATTAGTCAGGTGTAGTGGCACACACCTGTACTCCCAGCTACTTAAGATGCTGAGGCAGGAGGATCACCTGAGCCCAGGGGTTTGAGGCTGCAGTGAACCATGTTCGCACCACTGCACTCCAGCCTGGGAGGACAGACTGAGACCCTGTTTGAGACCATGTCTCAAAAATAAATAAAAATAAATAAAATAAATTCTTAAGGCAAAATTGATTACACAAGTAGGGCCATGGATTCCCTACTGACAAACTCCACAGAGAAGAGTATGTGCATGAATGCTAGCAGATAGGTGTTTCGATATGTAAATGAACCGAGGCCATGAAAGCGATCATAAGCCACATGGAAGCAATGGTGACGGCCCGGGTTTCAGTGGAATCACAAGCCCAGTTGCCTGGAGAAAGAACTGTGTAAATTGCATACCTGACAAAGTTCAAGTGTGTTAGACACTTATACATCCTCTGTTTTTCAAACATTTCCCTGAGGAACAGGTACAGACCACCGCTGTTTCTGGAAAGGTGGACTAAGTAATGGATTGGGGACTTGCTAGGTTGTCAATAGCACATGCAGAGAATGTACAGAGCGATCATCTTGTTCCTGACAGAAAATGTGTCATCTGCATGTGTTTCTTCTTAAAAACATATACTTTTTTATAACAGACTCTGAAAGAAAATCTAATTAGAATTAATCCTGGAAAACCTGTTAAGATGGACTTTTCACAATATTGCCTGAGGTACAGTAGCAACACTATTCATGATGAAAATGCACGGACCCACTCAAAAAATCTATTGGTCACATCATGTTCCCATGTCTAGGTTAAAAAAATTAGTGTCCTGATGGAATCATCTATTTAATGCAAGAAGTGGATAATTTAGGATCTGGGTTATCCATCCATCAGGTTCATGGTAACAGCTCAGCCCTTCCCTGACCATCAGTGTGAAATCCAACCGCATGTGAGGTGCGCACCAAGGCAGCACATACTTGATGAAGAAAAGTGGGCCACCACTCACATCACAGCAAAATGTTGTTTTGTTATGTCATTAATACCATAGATGGAGTTTTTCTGCATCATTTATCAGTACCATCATTCTCCTCTGCCCTCTTGGTGCACAGACAGCGTTTGGATGGGAAAAAAAAAAAAAACCCTTTAGCCAGTTCCTTCTGCTAAAACAAGTATTCTGAGGCTTAAGAAGTACAAGTCATTTGAATAATCAAAGAGCATTAATGAGAAAAAAAAGTAATGTTCCGCAAATCTTACCTGAGCTCCTGGATTAGTGAATCCATTGGCACTGTTGACGAAAAAGAAAAAAAAAAAAAGACTCGATCAGTTGATGATTTTCAAAACTGTATAAAGGAAACTTTTCCCTCACCTAGAGGTAACAACCAATAAGTTTCTCACTGGGTGGATCTATCTTTTCTTGTTTTGGTTCTTTGGAGATGAGAGGACAGACGGATATGGCCGGCAATAGACTGACTGTGGGTTTAGTGCCTTGGGTGACCCTGAGGCCTGGTAATCATAGACTGGATTTCCATGTACCTGTCCTGAGAGATTCATTGAAAATTCACAGGAGCACAGATGAATCCGATTATTTTAAAATACATTTTATTTTTAGTCAAAATATTATTCAGAAAGAATCCCAAGATTATATTTTTATTGATATTAAACACCTATTCAAAAAAACTGGTAAAGCTTTACTAAATAAATACATCCCATGATTTTACTCGTAAACTGCCTCCATATAGAAAGGGAAGAATGAGCTTCCACCATGTTAATATCACCAACCTTTTAAAAGTGAAGAACTTACAGGAAAAGCAGCTTTGATTTTTCTGACTAAAATGATGGGAACTAAAGAAGTTCATGTTTATAAATACCTGCCTACACAAGGGTAAGCAGCATATTGAGAGACAACAGGTGGTTTTAAAGATTACTCATGCCTCACGAGAAACAGTTGTTTCATTTCTAGAACATTTTGGCTCTATTAAGGGTGTTCATGCCTGTGCCAGAGGAATTTGAAGTCCAAAAGAAATTGCAAATTAAAAAAAAACACCCACATTTTAAAAGTATGACAGAGTAGTGTGCTTTTAGAAGTCAAAATAAGAAATTCCAATAATCCAAATACTAGCTCTAGCATGCTGATATTTATGTCAGGCATAGCTTATTCCAAAGAGTGGGATGGACTGCTTTTCTTAAGCTGGTATCCTATTGAGAAGTTTGCTCCATAAAAAAGTTATTGTTTAGAAATACTACATTCCAAATATTAGGATATATCACGTGGTTACTTTAAAACTAATTTAAAGTAAGAGTGGAAGATAATGCAGCACAAAATTTCTGTTTAGGTAGAGAAAAGTGTCATAGGTGCACAGCATTCTGTTTGTATTTTGGTTACCATGGTGAATGATGGCCTTGAATTTATTAAAAAGAATAAATTTTTAACTGAAAAGAATTATCCTTGAATTTATTAAAAATTGGGGGATTCTGGACTTTGCTCAAACAGGAAGTAATTGCCTTGACTACATATACAGAGGAGGAAAGCATTCCATTAGATCAGCCGCTGTCAAATGTACGTCTCTACACAATTCCAAAGGGCTGCAAGGTCACGGCTGTACCACGGCTCTTCCTCCGCGAGGTAGACTCTGAGTGGGGTGGGGTGAGGAGGATGGGAAATAGCTATCCAGAGTGTTTTCAGAAGCTGTGGTGAACCTACAGTTTTCCACTTAGAAATAAGGGTCACAAAAATATAGCTAATTATAATAAAAGTTATTTTCCTTAAGGGGTATTATTGCCAGTCAATCCTGTTTTCCAGATGTTTAGATCATCAAGGGCCTGTTTATATTTCAATATTACATTACCATCTGTTGGTTACAAAAAGAGAGGGATAACCGGCAAGTTAAACCTTCCAAACATCACTTTGCAGAGCTGCTGGAAATTCCCAGCAGAGACAGTCAAAAAACAAACATCATCATTTTACTTGAACTAAGTTTAGGTTGGGAGCCTAGACAACATAAAAATTAAAACCTGCTTCGGCAATAAACTAACAATTCGGTATTTCCCTTGGCCATTAAAGGTCACTTCCATAATTTGAAGGTTTCCATGAAACATCCTTCACTGGCTGGACTTTATGCTGTCTTTTGTGATGTTCAAATCCACTCATGATTGCATTTTGTAAAAATTAGCATGATATATCATTTGGACTTTTCTGAGTCCTTTAACTCCTGGTTCATAGTATTTTGCCTTTCCATGCCAAGAGCCAGTGTCCTGGCTTGATTTGAAGAAAGAAGCCCCGAGAAAGTTGCAATCATTCTAACTGCACATGAGGGCCTGAGCACTGGTACGCTCACATTTCATGGTGTGGTGCGCGTAGTGTCATAGAACCTGCTTGCTAACTCACCCTCGGTTCCTTTAGAGCGAGTACACAGTGTTTTATCTTCAGCCTCTGCATCCATCTATAACATGAACACAAAGTCCTGAGGTCATTCCTTTGACATTGACCAAAATATGAAAATGTGTAATTAGAAGCTCTGAAGGTCATTATGAAAAACAGTAGCCTTCCATGCTCTTGACCCACAGCCCGGCTCTATAGTACGTCGCTGACTCCCCCCACACACCACCAGCTTTGGAAATACATCTACAGTTGCTGGAAACCAGAGAGAACAGCGACAAGAGGGCAGACGTCCTTGTCCACAAGGGTTTGAAGTGACTCAAACACTTCTGGCATTACAAAGATAGAAAAAGGCTCGTCTCATTAACAGTGGCTGTGAAGGAGACAAAACCACAAATGTCAAACCAAAAGATTTCAGACCGATTTGCTAAAACCTAAGTCCCTCTTCATTTCCAGACTCTTCCTAATACATATTTCTTTCTAAGATGGAAAAACAAGATTCCCCATGTAAAAAAGCACCATTAAGACAAATCCCTGAAATACCCCCAGAAAATACCATTAGAAATTTTGATTATCAATAGTGACATAAGTTTACTCTCAGAACTTCAGAATAAATACCAGTTACAATCATTCAAATACATAAGGAAGGTGAAATTTGAGTGATATATGTGTCAGTATCAGATTCCCCAAAACATCATTAAGTATTTTAAATGGCATCAAATCAATTATCAAAGGGATGCAAAGAGTTGTTTTCAGACTCTGACCTTGATACACCCATCCATTTCACTGGAATCTGCTAATCATCTCTTAGTTTAATTCACTTCTGCGCATGATCAGAAGGAATTTTTAAATATAAATAAGTTGCTTTGCTTGTTGAAAATCAGAGGCAGGCAGAAGGTGCACTCAGTGGCTCCCATCCTTAAATCCTGACACTAGCTCCGATGTGGTGTGACTGCAATGGTAATGGGAGCTGCATTTCTGCTCTCAGAGGCTGAGTTGTGATTGAAGGCACTGACCTGCCATAGACTTATAATAGGGGAGCAGGTGTGGCAATGATGGACTTTAATTTCCTTTAATAAACCTTTTATGTGCCACACTTTTACTGCCATTCGACGCTCTCCAAGGTCCTGCACATAATAGGTTCATTACTTTTGATTACTATAGTCTATTGAGACAAACAACTCCAGAACACACTATATATTATGTTCAGTTAAACCAATATAGACTATTTATCCATTGTGCATTTTTTCACCTGCAACACTGCAGACAAAATTAACGACAGCTCTCGTAAGCTAAAACTATTAAAACCACCAGAACTCTTTTGTCATCATTTCACAATAAACACCACACCAATCGTTGAACTGCTTTTTAAACTAGCAAACACAAAGTGTTCACTGCCTTTGCTGAACAGCAGTGGCTATAGTCTAAATAAAATGGTGCATTGTTATGAATACTTTACACAATAAAAGAAAACAACAATGAAACAGAGGTGATTTTTTTTCCTGTCGATTTTCCTTCTTTTCAAACCACATGAGTTTATGACAGATGTGACACTGCCTAAGATAAAAATGGCTTGGTTTACTCAGGATGGTGAGCACTGCGTTGTGAAATCCCCCTCCTCTCGTGAGTATCTCTGTTGCATACAGAGTGGCTCAACTCAAGCGAATGTCCCTTCACGTGCTAAATGAATAACTGGATTACAAGAGATCAGTAACATGTGAGAGTTAAAATGATGAAAACCAACACATATTTCTGAGGAAGCCACTTCTATGTGTGAGCCTCCACAGAGCAACACCAATTTATTGTTATCTTGCCACATGGACACTATTAACTCCCCTAACCACTCTGAAGATTTACCCAAAAGGCAAGGATGAACTCTGTGAGTTTCTTTACCAAAACTGAAACACAGCCTGCAAAGAGTACCAGTGGACACACAAAAAAGCATACTTCCAGAAGCATACTTAAGTTCAATCTTCTTTACACCAGCTTTAAGCTGAATTCTATTTTGCAGTTCAGCTACCCAAGGGCATGGTTGCCTTGTCACCACTCCAGGCAGCCGCTCCCCACTAAAGTCATCGGAAGGGATACATAAATATTCATGGACCTCCCTTTGACTGTGCTTGGAATGCTGGTCTCATAATTGTGTTCTGTTGAGCTATTGTCCTCTTGTTGATGTAGCATATACATATCCTATACAAGCATATTTAAAAGTAGAACTAGTTTTCAAATTTAACTTGTGGGTCAAGTTGTAGGAGTGAAATGGAGCAAGGCTGTAACATACAACTTGACTGTTTCACTTGCTTCCCCTTCTTCACACTTAAAAAAAAAAACAAAACCAAAAGTTACTACATTGTGTCTCCTTATGTCTGGGGTTCACTGGGGAATAGGAACGTAAGAAACCAAAGGCATATGTGTTTTTCAGTGTGGAGAGTTTATCATTCGTGAGATGGTTCTTTTCTTCTCATAGATTTCAATTCAAAAGCAGAATTTGGTTTCTAGAACCTTGTCCATGGGAGTAGATATTTTAAGTATTCTTCATTTGGATTGTTCTCATGAACATCAATAAATTGCCAGTGGGTAGGTTGAATTTTTGTAAAATCAGACCTCATATTCAATAAGTACCTTGTCCAAGTAATGGGTCATTAAAAATGAAAAGATTTCTACTTCTGTGTGTGTGTTCAGGCCCCTGGGGTGGGATGGAGGTAGATTATCATTCTCTCAAAGTCTTCCAGAATTAGAGACAAGGCAAATGAGTATGGTGTGATACAATAAATCAACCTAACTTGTACTGCAGTCTTGAAAATTACACTTCTTGGGAACTTTGATTTTTTTCCCCCTGGAAGAGATGACTTGATCGTCTTTATTGCTTAAGCCCCGAATACTACTGGCAAGCTTGCAATTAATTCTGTAAAACCTAATGAGTCATTTCTTTTCTCAAAACAGAGGTTTTATTTTTTTTAAAAGCTGTCCCTCTCCAGATTTCTTAGGGCATTTATGTGCTTCATTCTCATACATCCCATTGTAGTTGAAAACGACAGAAGATATATTCTGAGATTTCTATAATGGGTTCTTCCAGGTTTTGAGAATCTGCTTCTCAACAGGAGTAAGAACAATAAAGGTAAACTCTGCCACTCTTATTTTCCCTAACTTGGAACTACTTTAAGAAAAAAGTTCAGTTTAAAAGATAAGTATCAACTTATTATGCATAATATTTACATAAAAAGGGGGGAAAAGTGGCTCTTGCTCAGTCTCTAATACTTAACAATGCCATAAAAAAAACTTTGAAAAGGGCTTCATGTCCCCGTTTTCTCGGGAGAGGAGTGAACACAAGGTGAAATGGCAAGAGGAAAAGAGATGTATAAAATAAAGAAGGCCAAGAGGCAAGACTTGGAGGAAAACATGCAAGAACTAACAATGGAAATAAGCAGATAGGCAATGAGGAAGAAAAATGACCAGAAAATGAAATTGAACTCTTGGGCTGAATTTGGAAAGCTCTCATTTAATAACTTGATGTACTTACAAACCTATAAACAGATGTATAAAGTGATTTCCTAGTACTTGTACTTGAAGTCTTTTCTCACTGGCGCTTACATCAGGGGCAATAAGCAGGTCTCTTCCACATCGCCCCTGTGCACAGATCTGGTAACTTCTTTTGGGCTGAAGAGAAAGTCCTAGAATTGCTGTTTTGTGGGAGGGAAGAGATTCAAGGAACAGGACATAGAATTCATAAACTCAATTGTGCTTTCATTCACACAAGCCAATTACTGACATGTGGGGAGGTTTTATTTCCCTTAGATTTTATTTTTCGCTTAAAATTCTATTTTAACCTAATGGAAAATGAAACAAAAACAAAAACACAAAACAAAACCCAGCTGTCCAAGTAAAAATTTAATTGCTTTTTAAAAAACTGAACATAAGAAATCCCTTGGTTATGTTGAGGTTTTGTTTCTATCAATAAGGCTTTAGACATTAACAACCTCAATATATATTTATAATACACATTTGTAAGTAGTCTTGAGTTTCTCAATATTTGTAGAAAATGTCGCGGTGACCACAATGTTTTGGGGGCATTTTCTGAAAACCCTTATAAAATTAATCTTAACACTGTCTAGTTAGGTATCTCATGCAGGTAGCTACTCTTTTTTTTTTTTTTTTTTTTTTTTTTGGAGATGAAGTTTTGCTCTGTCACCCAAGCTAGAGAGCAGTGGCACAACCTCGGCTCACTGCAACCTCCACCTCCTGGGTTAGAGCGATTCTCTTGCCTCAGCCTCCCGAGTTGCTGGGATTACAGGCATGTGCCACCACACCAAGCTAATTTTTTTTGTATTATTAGTAAAGATGAGGTTTCACCATGTTGGTCAGGCTGGTCTTGAACTCCTGACCTCAAGTGATCCACCAGTCATGGCCTCCCAAAGTGCTGGGATTACAGGCATAAGCCACCATGCCTGGCTGCTCCTCTTAATTTGAGAAGTCAGTCACACACATTAACTTGCAGTCAGCTCCCTTTTGAAAGAGATTTTGCTGTGCTCATCTCCTGAGATTTTTGACCTGCCAGTGTGGTTCTGTCATTGTGATTGCTCTTGTGAGATGTCATTTCACTCCTGGGGACTCACAGCAATGGTGGGAAGAAGATCTGTGGCTGCTGAGAAGAGTTGCTGAGGTCCTCTCCATGAGGAACACTTTATCTACAGTGGACGCTTCCTTTTCAAAAATCACATTTTTTAAAAAATGATGAAGAAAAACTCAGGCAGTTGGAAATGGCTAGGCCCAGAGAAACCAAACAACTACATGATGCCAGCATCTTGGACTGAAATTTGGCCAGACTGAAGAACAAAGAATCTTACATTGAGTGCCCCTTCTTTTGATGATTCTGGGATCATTTTGTTTTAAACAGAGCTTTGGAGCAGCTCACAATGGAAGCAGAAATATTTACCTGTTACGCAAGAAATCATGGGAGAAATGAGCTGCAGTTTTAAAAGGATGCTCATTGACTTGTGGCAAGAAATACCAAGAATGTTTAAGTATGTTTTTTCTCTGTTCTTCCCCTCTTCTTATTTTTCTAGT